TTACATTTATTGTGAAATCTTTTTTTTACTTGTAATTTCTTTCTTTGAACAAGCTCACAATGTTGGGAGGAGTGATTATTAAACCCAATTTACGAATTTAAGAAGTGTGTAGTCTCTAATATGGGCAAAATCTTAGTATAATCTTAAACAAAAACAGCCAGAAATTATGCGATATTGTTTCGCATTGGCACAATAGAAGGACAAATGACCTCTTTTTAATATTTCAAGGATTTAACTACCGTCGTAAAAGTATGGGAACAAGTTATGTATATGCGCCCTCAGCTGCATCCAACCGATATAATTAATATATTAGCCTGCTTTGCGTGTACGCTTTTCAGTTTTGCCGAACTCCGTTTTTTACTCCAATCTAGCTATTTATATGCAAGCTCTCACAAGTTGTACTCATTAGTAATGGATGGGATGGGATGGTACTGTAGGATAAATTTTTTATTTTTTTTATATATTATTAAATGAATAAATATATTTAATATAATGAATTTTACATAAATTAAAAAAATTAATTATTTTAATAACACATCAAATTATACAAAAATATAAAATAAAAAATTGTACAAAAATCATTTTCCTATTAGTAATAGTTAGTAAGTATTTATTTTATAAGATAAACATATGTTTAAAATTATTTTAAAAGAGATTAATTTTGAAATATTTAAAAATATTTTAATTAATAATAATAAGTTGTATGCAGGATTTCAAATAAAAAGGGTGCTAAGCCTTTACCTAATTAACCATTAATCCACAACCTCCTAAGAAATAATACTAGCTTTTCTTGAAATGCAACCAAACTAAAGAACGATAAAGGCTTGCTTAATGGTGAGATTCATGCTGTTTCTCAGGAATCAAACCAATCGTTTCATTTCATCTCTTTGCAGCTTTCCCTTTCAGTGCTTTGTCTGTCTGTCTGTGTCACATTTCTCAATGACCAACTCCTTAAGGAATCTCTAATTGAAAAATAGCTCACTCCATTCTAATTAAGCAATTAAGCTGCAAAATGGGGAAAAAAAAAGAAGAAAAAAAAAGTGAATACATAAACTATTCACCAATAATGCAGCTGTGGCCTTATCGTGCCCTGAACCATCTAAAATTTATCAGTTATCACCTACTACACTGTCGCCCCACCCAATAGAATAATGTGCCTGTCCAATCAGGATCAACCAAGAGCACTAATTAATTTCTTTGGGATATACTAGTTTTTAGTTGGTATCTTAATATATTGGAGCATATATAAATTTTTTAACACCTTCTTTACATTAATTACTTAATAAACTAATCATAAAGTTAATGGTCCAAAAATTAGTTTACATCAGTGGATTAGTAGGGTCTTAATCATCAATTATACGCGGGTTCGTGTCTATAGGGGCACAAACAGGCAGATTGAACAAGGTTGTGGGGTAAGGTGGGGAGGAGGATAAGGTCCTAGAAGTTTGGCATACGTAACAAGGGATATGGGTCATGTTAGGAGGGAAATTGAGAATAGATCAAGTGAAAATGAAATGGACAGATTGGAATTTGAGAGGGACTTGTTATGAAGATATCAGTTACCTATAAAAGCACCAGAAAACTGTCTTAGAGAGAAAGGAACAAATTCTGTTGGAAAAAGGTAAAACAAAGTAATTAAATGCCACATAGCTTTACAAAGATTAAAAATGGTTATTTGACTATGTAAATCTTTGCCTTTCAAACT